GGCCAACTTGAGATATTTGTGGCGCCGTCACGACATCCGGCTGTCTGTGAAGGGTCGAGTGTATGCTGCAGCAGTTCGACCAGTCCTGCTCTACGCTGCAGACACTTGGCCACTTAGGGAACAGGATAAAAATAGATTATCGGTGTTCGAACACCGCTGTCTACGCAGCATTGCACGAATCTGGTGGGGTAACCGAACTAGCAATGCTGAGGTTAGACGTAGAGTATTAGGCAGTCGCGGTCGTCCACTACAACAAGTGATTGACCTTCATAGATTACGCTGGTTGGGACATGTGTTACACATGCCACCAAATGGCCATGGCGAACGATGTTTGCCAAGGCTGGTAGCGATTGGAAAAAGATAAAGGTTGGTCAAACTAAGACCTGGCATGAGGGTATGAAAACCCTAACCAGGAGACTAGGTCACATAGGCCCCGTTAGGCTCCCTGGCTTAGGATCTCAGGATGATGATCACCGATGGTTAGAGATACTGAGTGATATGACTGGGTGTCGTAAACAGTGGTGCTCGTGCATCCACTCGTTATTCTCCTAACACCACTCTTTATGAATTCCCCCTTCCGCTTGAATTTGATTCGACATTGCAATCTACATTTTTTTCTTTTATCTAAATGGGCAACCAAAAGACAGCGACCAAAACCGGCGCTCGAAAGTGCATGGTTAATGGTTGTAAAAACTGAACTTATATGTACGCAAAATGCATAATGCTACATAATTGGTTTTACCAACTATCAGGACATATTTGTAACAATATCAAGGCTCTAAAGCGAACACACCTGGCTCTAAAACTTCAGGAAATGCTGTAGTAAAACTGTTCACATTTTACTTAAACAAAAAACGATGTTCAGAATATTTTCTAGTATTTTGCTTAGATCAGAGTATGGTCTTCATACGTGTAGCATCTTTGTTGTTATTGCGTTACATTGTATGCAACTGATGGGCCTCAATCTTTCTACGATTCTTGTTCTTCTTTTATCGAGCTCCATATTTGATGTAGCATCAAAGGAAAAAATCGAGAGGACTGAGATTTGAAGATCGGGGTGGTGACTTCACATGGTCACATCTACCAGTCCAGTGTGTCGGGAGGTTCTCGTTCAAACAATGCTGGGCTCGGTGTGAATAGTGCGGAACGTTGATAGCACACAGTCAGGATGGTTTGATGAAGCATGACCAACAATGCTCACCGCATAAACCAAGTTTTGATTGGATCACGTGTGTTACTCCGTGGACCAAGACGATTGGTCAGCCAAGAGCAGACATGGTGTTAGTTAACTCCACGCCGCTGACAACGATCGCGTAATTAAGTGAGTACGTGTGCAGAATAACTATGTAAGGCGATTCGCGCTCAACCCGTATGTATAGCATGAAAGTGAAGCGCATTACGCTACACATTTCACCCTCTTTATGTTGTCATCGTTGTTAATAAGTGTATGTTTGTATTTCGTTATTCATGATGAAATTGGTATTTGGTGAGATTGAAGAATAAGTTTGTTATTTACAGATTTATATAAATAGACCCAGAATGGGTCAGGCTGTTGCGATACTTTTGCGTGGAATGGCGTAGGAGGACACATGCAGGTAAATCAAAGATACTACCCACACGCACACGTACCTCATTAGATGCGACCAAGACGGGAGAATGTGCTCGAATTGTACTCAAACGTCGCCTCACAATAAATTGTTCGCGAATAATCCAATTCTCCATAGCAGAACAATCAGTCAGTTGGAACAACTCCAATTCGGATCGCATCACCCGGGCCCCAAGCGCTGTGTAGAAATCTGAATGAAAGTGACAGATTTCCCGTAGTCGATGAGAAAATGAAAATATAAAATGTCATCTGTGCATCTTGTGTAAACAGCATACCGAGTAAATTTAATCGTATGAGACTCGAGCCTAACAAAACTGAAGCACAGTCGATTGTAGCACGATCTATGAAAGTAATACTATTGGCTAGAACAATGCATTTCGGACAAGCTGACTACTGATGACTTGTTTGTGCCTAATTAAAAGGATTTACTTACATGCATATTACGAGTTCTACTGAATACAACATTTGGCGTCGCAACATGAGTTTAAGAGTTACTCCACCTACACCATTTTGAATAGACTGTAACGCTCAGCCTACTCCAGAGTCCTGGGAACAATAGAAAATATCGTTTAACAATTACATCGATCTCCTACCTGTGCTAAATCCATCGATTGTACTGAATGAAAGCGTCATTTGCTCGGAGACTAAGGACAACGACAGTTTGACGATCTTAATTTACAAACGTGCTCCATTGTCCAATCTGCTCTTAATACTTTGGACCGTACCGTGGGATCTCAACTGAATGTGTTCACTGCCAGGGTTCGCTTCTCTCGCATTATTCAAGAAAATGGACAGCCATTGAAGCAGTTTGTTTTTCGATTGAACCGAGCAGTGCGATTTTGTGAGTACTCTAAGTTGCCTCAGAAGAAACTCGAAGGATCGATGTTAATTCAACAATTCATATCGGTCATCAAAGACGATTGACTTCGAGAATCATTGTTGAAAGAGGACGCCGATAAACTGATATGGGAGAAGGCCTGCGAATTGGCGTACATTAAAGACGAAATATTGAAGCAATCAAAGGAGTTTTCTCACCACAGTGAACATGTTCAGGTCTCCAAAGTATTTCCTTCACTGAAGAACAGCACAATGGAAGGTGTCACATGTTACAGTTGTGGAAGTGCGGCCCACAAAGCCAATTAGCCCTTGTGCCCAGCTCGATCAGCAGACTGCAAAAACTGCCACAAGACAGGTCACTTTGCTCGTGCTTGTCGTCTGAAAAATGTATCTAATATTAAAAACATCGCTGCACTGCACGAACCATCAGGCGAAGAAAAAGAACAACAGAATATATTCTGCATTTCACGTCACGGTTCAACTTGTACATCCGACGAGTCAATAAATATTAAACCCAAGCTACCTTTTGCGGATACTCGTAACGTTGTTTTTCACAGTCACCACGGTAACGTGTCACTGGCAATGGAGTTAGACTCTGCTTCACCAATTTCTACAGTTCCTTTAAGCTTCTACGAAAAACGTCATTGTATCCATCATCTTACAGGTTTGTCAGTTATACCAAAGAACCATTGGAGATTAGAGGCTTCATCATTGTGGACTTGTCTCTCCAAACATCCCAATCTTCAGTCGTCGTTTATGTGACTACACATGATGACAAACCGCTACTAGGACGNGGGGGGGGGGGGGATGGTTTTCAAAAGTTATGCGATTCATCCGTCGAGCGAATTCCTTTCGAGAAACACCAGACTGTTTTGAAACCGCATGTCGAACCCTTTACTGTCAGTCAGTCACGCCCGGTATCACCTACAATGAGAGAAGCGGTATCTGAAGTCCTTCAGTAAATCTTATTTAATGATTTGATTGAGTAAGTCGATTTTTCCGAATGGGCGCGCCGTATTGTCTCTGTTTTTCAAAAGAATAGTAACGTTCGTATATCAAATGACCTACCGATTTTGAATAAACAGATTCTGACCCACAAACTCGTAATTCCCTCAATGGGACTGAGCTCTTCACCCGCTGTGTGGCAAACTCTTGTGACCCAGGCATTCGTTAGGAATATCGGCTGTGTGAATCACCTTGATGATATTTGTGTGTTCGGCTATACTCAGGAACAGTATGATAAGCTGTGCTTCAAAAAATTCAAGAAACCTATGTGCGCATCAGTGTGCAGCAATGTGTGTTCAGTATCTCCAAGTTGCAGTCTCTCGGCTACACTTTCTCTCAAGAAGGCGTACAACCGAGTGGGGAAAATACGACTGCTTTTCGTCCACTCAACTTCCATGACACGATTTACAAGAAGCGCTTAAAATCATACCAGGATACATACAGAAAGACTAATCCGTTGAATACTGGATGCCTTATACGGACCAAAATAACAAGTCTCTCAGACAGTGCTCCCTGTGTTATCGCCGCCGCTCAAAGCTGTAAGATGAGACAGCCCAGACGATCCAACCGAAACCCAAACCAATTGACCCCCACCTATCATCAGCGCTAATAAAAGGAAGGTGATGTGTGGCCTAATGCATTTATTGGTTAACTCTTGTATACATTGCTCCCACTGGACGCGCAACATCTATGCGCGATGTACACACACAGACACAACTACAAACATACACGCACGTGACACGGACGTCCCTCACATGCGACCTTGATTACAATGACCAACCAGACTGCACCACGTGTCTGCTTGTTATTGATTGGCTGACTGCTGATAACTTATACGACCAGTTCCGGCGGATGATATGCTTTTATTATTGTACATGAATTACCATGCTACTGGTTTGTGTCTAATTAAAAGGATTAACTTACATGCATATTACGAGTTCTATTGAATACAAGAATATCTACGATTTTACAGTAGAAGCTTGAATTTTTTTCACCTCATAGGTGTTAGCACTTGCTAAATACATTCATTGATCACCCACAGTTCCTACTGTGTTGCCTTTCTTTCCGAATGAATGCGACCCTGTTAGTTGCATTTGTTTACCGTTTTCTCTTTTCCCCTATGGGTCGTAAGGGGTATGTGTGTGGGGGACAAAGGGGATTAAGTCAACGAATCTGGGTGTAAAAAATAACGAAGGCAATTAGAACCGATGAAGCGTGGGGTCGTGGTAGCGGAGGGTGCGGAGTGGATACCACTCACCTTCAATCTGTTTGGTCATTAGTTCAAGGCCATCCGGAGTGCAGTTTGGACGGATTTGCATCAGCAACCGCGTAAGATGATCACAAACGAAAGCGCCCTGTTCACAGTCTTGCAAATAGGCCTAGACAGATAAAAGAAAATCCATCCAATCAGTCGGATATATTAGGTACAGACGCAACCGGTTAACAGATAGAAAAAAGACAATAGCAAATCTCACAATTCATGAGGAATGTTCCCACTCACCTCTAGTTGGTGTTTTCTGTTCTCTGAGGACAGCGAATGAAATGTTATGGGGAGTTTATCGACCGGGGCGTCGGGATAAGCCAATCCAATCCCTTCACCATCATCCAATTCATTCGAATCATCGTATTCCCCGGCGGGATGCCATTTTGTGGTGAGTATTTGATGCAACCGATCACATTTCGTCGACCATTCTTCGCGTAGTTTAATCCACTTTTGAAACAGTAAAGACAGTCCATCGGAGGAAAGGTGAGACCGGAGTTGAATACACAGACCCGTGGACGGAGTTGGGTGGATCCCGGACCAATCTGCTCCACACAATCGATCCAGTTGTACACATTCGATCTGGAGCGAAAAAGTTTCGGGCCATAACTACGTTGATTGTCTCAGGCAGACCGATGGAAACAGAACCGAATTTGTATTGATACATTGGACTGGATTTGTTTAGTCAACCTGACAAGATGGAGCTTGTGTTTGCTATGAACGAACAGTTTGTATTATTGCAACTGCAAAAAAACATCACGATCCTCATCGATAAATTTAAGGACTATAGATAAAGGTTATCCAAGGGCAAAAATGCACCAATAATGATTTGCTCCAGGTTTTACGTTCCGAAGTTCGAAACCTGTGGCGGCCACTCAACTTGGTGGTAAGCAGCTTCGTTGTCATCCGGTACAGTGTGATCCCTATATCAACTGGGCCTCGTGCGGTTGGTTGTTCATTCTAATCCAGGAAACAAAGATTACCGAACTCTAAAGTCTTAATATTATTCCTTCCATTTTCCATTGGCAGTTGACAATAAACAAACAACGGCACTGGATTGCGGTTTTCCCATTCCGCCCGACTGCCTTGCTGGGTCAGGCTTTGGCTAGACGAAGGCTTCGGTTGTGAACTTCCAAAAAAATTCACCTGCCTTGGCCTCGGCAACCTGACAGTTATTCCGCCCACAAACAAATCATGGAAAGTTGCTATTTTTTGTAAAGATTATTGTACCGTAATTCGTTTGGTACACAGTCTGAATTCAGACGTATGTGAAATACAATACAATATAATACAATACAATACAATACAATACAATACAACACTGAGTAGTTTGCCTCGCTCTGAGTAGACCAGTCCAGTATCACTAACGTCGAGGTTGAATTGCGCGCGCCTAAAACAAATCTCGTGCACATTCCGAAAAGACCGTTCGAGCAAAAATCCTCACTCTTTACATTCAGTGGTCGTTGAGGTGTTGTGGGATACCACTTCGCTGGTGGTGAGGTGGGATACGAATCCGGTTGCATTAAGACCAATACTGCTGGAGTAACCGGAAGAGCAATGATGAGGTTAGGCGTAGAGTTTTAGGCGGTCGCGGTCGTCGCCATAGACTACGCTGGTTGGGACATGGGTTACACATGCCACCAAATAGGTTGCCATGGCGAGCGCTGTTTGCCGGGGCAGGCATTGGATAGAAAAAGGTCAAAGGCGGTGAAACGAAGACCTGGCATGAGGGTATAAAAACCCTAACCTGGAGACTAGGTCACATAGGCCCCGTTAGGCTCCCTGGCTGAGGATCTCAGGATGATGATCACCGATAGTTAGAGACACTCAGCGATATGGCTGGGTGTCACAAACAGTGACCCTCATGCGTCTACTCATTATTCTTTTAGCGGTGCTCTATATGAATTCTCTATCTTACGCTTGATTTTCCTCTCAACATTCCAATCTTCATCATTCTCTTTTATCCAAATGGGCGTCCAAATGACAGCAACCAAAACCGGCGCACAAAAGTGCATGGTTCATGGTTGTAAAAACTGAAACTGAAAAACTGAATTTATCCATGTTTTTTCACAGACTACTGTAACCGATAATAATGCGTTATCATAATGCTCCATAACTATGATTTGCAAACTTATATTATGCGGGAAGCGGTTAAACTTGATTTAAAGAGTAGAAAACACGTTTCTCGATGTCTAGAGGAGCGAGTGTACGACCGCTGAACAGGTCGAATATCATAAAACTGCTAAGCCTCAGGTATTCTCGTCAAGGTCAGATCAGAGAAGAAACCAGATTGGTGATGTGTAAATCTGAGTGTACACGTTACACTATTCATTCAGGCGAAAAGCGCGTACTTGACAAAGAGTCCATAACGCCTTTACATCCTGCACACTCAAACTGGCCTCGGAGATTGATGACGACGTTCGAACACGTCTCGGACAGCTCGTTCGATCTTCCGAAAAATCTACCGCCATGGGTTGGTGGCTGATTGCAAGCAGGTTAAGCTTTTGTTGAATCAGGAGGCGCACATTGTTCACCTCTGTGTTAACAGCACTACACGAAAACGGAAGAGAGACGGAAAAAAAAAACAGAAAAAGGACGAAGTCAAAGTGACGGTTGAAAAATAGCTCAAAACGGTTAAGGGAATCTGGTAACTACCACAAAACTGAGTTACTCTGTTGATCGAATAAATCAGTCACACAAATAATCCTTTCGATTTCTTCGACTCAATATTATAGAACGCAAGCATCCAACTTAAAGAATCAACATACGCGAATGATCAATCATTCAATCCCTATCGATGATCTACCAGAAAAGATTCATTACTAAAATAATTCCCTCCGGATTCCTGGTATGCATTAAAAAATCAAGATTGAAATAGCTTGTCTATCTACATGCGCGTAATCTATTCTTGAAGGAAGTGCCAGGCAAGTTTACCTCTCGCCTGTAATCGTTGCACTGAGCTTGAGCTTACAACCCTTTGTTGGCCCATTTCACAACGAAAAGTGACGTTTGTCGGGGGGGGCTCTCTTCTGTTCTTCTTTTCGACGCTATAACAGATAAAACCCTGTAGTTGTGGGTGGTGTACCATTTTTGAAGTGGGTTGGTCCAACTTTAAACTTCACTTCAATAGGAGAGACGATAGGCATGCTTTAGTGACACCAGACTGCGCCCGCATATCAAG